GCCTTCCTCCAGCACCACCCGAGGTGAGCTCCTGAACACGGCTTGCAGCGTCACTGGTAAGTCCTCCTGGAAGAGGGAGCCCATCTGCCGAGGGAGAGAGGTTATTTCTGGGCACAGCAACCAGCCCCTGCATCCCCGGGGTGGTGGGCAGGGACCGGGGGGCTCTGCCCCAGCTGTGGCCATGCCTCTCAGGGCAACAACAACAAACCTGAGTAATCTTCTGTGCCATGGTGGCGGTGGTCAGCGGGCTCTGAAAGACAAAGCACAGCTCATGATCCGGCTGCTGGGGCTGCTGAAAAAGTCCAGCACGGCCGTGCTGACCCCATGGTGAGCACGGTGCTGCACACGGGTACGGTGTTGCCAGCAGGTGCCAGGAGCTGCATCCTGGTTACTCTTCATGGCAAATTCTCTGTGCATCATCAGACCAGAAATATATTTGGGAGCCTGGGGGTGAGGGACTGTGACCCCCCTGGGCCCTCAGAGCCACTCTCATTTCTTTGCAGGCCACACAGCTCCTCCAAGCCATCCCTAGGGCAGGGCTGTCCCTCCAAACACACGTTTTCTGCTCCTTCCTTGCTCACTCTACTCACCGGGATGGTCATGTTAAAGGCTCCAGCCATTTCCAGGGCGAAGAAGAGGCTGGGGTAGAAGGGGTCAGAGAAAGCCAGTGTGAGGGGGGAAGGGCTGGGGCTCGCCAGTGCTGAATGGCATGGGGCTGACTGGCAGGGGAATTGGTATCCCCACCACCTGGAAAGTCGTCTGCAGGGACATGGGTAAGGAGAAAAGGAGTCTGAGATGTCTCAGGCCAGGTGGCCCTGGAGGAAGCAGCTCTCCCAAAGCCTGGAACTGGGCTGTGAGTGCTGGGAAACGAGGACTTACTTGCAAGGACATGGTGATTCCCTGCTCGGAGAACACGGGTGCAGCCAGGGGCAGGTACTGGACCTGGCAGCTTGGTGTGATGGGGAACGGAGCTGCAAACCGAGCAGAGGGACCCTCAGAGAGGGGAGGGAGCGGGCACGGCAGGGGGGGGGTGGGAAGGGGCT